ATATACTTTATACATATATATACACTATACATATATATATATATACATATAATCCACTATTTGCACGATTGTATTTATATCCACTATTTGCACAAATGTATTTAAATCCACTACTTGCACAAATGTATTTCGATAGTTGTGCGTATGTGTATTAAACTGATGGACGCATTTCAAGCCTGTAGTCTCGAGTATGTACTATGAATATTGAATACATGCTCATTTACTGTCACGCTTTAAAAGTGTACATTCAAACAAACAATTGCGGATTATGATTGGACGAAATCTTTCATAAAATATTACCAGGTACCTTAAACACAACAAGATGAGAGAGTCAGGGAGAGCCTGTCAGGGTAAGGTGCATGTACATAAGTATATTTGGTACTGGTCACTGCCTCACTGGTGGTGCAGCTTGGTGCAAGAAAAATATCACGGCCCTCTGGGCTCTAGAAAGCTCAATACGTTTTGCCTACTTGGGATAAACTTTAAACGTAAACGGAAAAAGGTTTGATTTTTAAGCGTTTTTATGTATATCGGGGGCAAATCGACCAAGAAAATTTCCCAAATTTGCACCTGAGAAACCGACTTTTTGTTTTAATGAAAAGGCGATTTGAAACTATTCACAAATGACACAAAGTAAAAAATAGGACAATTCGTGACAGTTAGGCCGCCTCCAACAAAGTACCTATTTGTATACCCATAGGACTATATTTATGATAAACTTTGAACGTGAACGCTTTCTTTTTCTATATTTTTTTCTGCGTTTTAACGGGAAACGTAATGAGGTTAGCCCTCTGGCCTCTGGGACATTGGGACTGGATATTTACATAGAGTCTCTGCTAAATTTATCTACGATTTCCGCTAAATACACTTGTACGACACCTGATTTCTGCCCGCGACCCATCCAGTCAGAGAGCAGTGAAAATATCAGATTTTTTGATGATTCCATTTTACAGGGGCTGTTTGCTCTTTTAAAAAAACTCCCCCCCCCCAAAAAGTGGCTAAAACCTAAACTGAAAAATGAATTTGGTTGTTTTTTCTTAATAAAAAATAATAACAATAATATAAATATCATCAAGAGTTCGAGCCTTCACAGTCACTTTATTTACAAGAAGTTCACAAGTCACACAAGTTTAAAGTTTCAACACTCTCCACAAATCAACAACCATATCAACAGATTCCATTTTTTATTTTGTTTTAAAATCCTTTTATACACATATAGAGTTAAAAATTTCACTCATATTAAATACTACTACAGATTAAAAAAATACAGAATTTAAAGAAATTGAAGGAGGCTGTTTGTATACAAAACACCGTTATATTTACGTGTAGATTGCATTTCCATGCTTATTTTGTAAAAGTATATACTAAGAATTGATACCACAAGAGACATAATGTCTAAGCCACCAGCGGCCACCGTGCCTCCAAAGAGCATTCCCGCAGCTGACGTTGATGGGGGATCTATCCGCACTAACAATCGAGAAGCCGTCACTATCAATGACCTGGGCAACCTCAAAGAAGACAAAGGTGGTCTTATATTGCAGGCAGCCAAGGCGAAAGACCTTGCAAAAATCAAGGCAGAACTAGAAGCGGGTTCGAATATAAACCAGGCTCACACGGATGGTGACTTGGTATGTATCGTGTAAATGGGGTTGCTAGCTGGTTGATTTTTGGGCGCACGAAAAACATAGTAAACAACAAACTTTGTATTTTGACCCGGGTATAGCGTCAGCTCAGATACGGGTGTAACATCACAGCTTACTTATTGAGTGTATACAGATAGAAATAGTAGTCTGTATTTTTGTCTCTCTGTTA